TTATATTTTATCTATAACATGTATAATATTTGAAATAGAGGTATTCTTTTTAACCATTGTTTTTATTTTCACTCCTTTCACTACGCTCTACTATATTACGTGAGAATGTATCTTATTCTCTCATTTATTATTACTAAATACCTATATTTTATTTATATATAACTAGCTAGCCGCCCCGGCTTCGTACAGGTGTACATATATTGTAATACCTTCCTCTTGCATCACTCTATATATTGCGACAAAATGCATTAAAATCCGTTGCGTAGTTTAAAAGATCTAAGCTAAGAAACAGTAAAAGCGTGTTCATTTTATACTGTGTAAAGATTTGGAAATTTTTTGCATAACATAAATTAATTTTATACCCTTTGAACTTCCTTTTAAGTGTTCAAACCAATTTAGGTGTGGTTCTAAAATTGTGACTAAAGCTCTATACACACTATCTTAAAACCTTACTTATGTAGATACTTACATTTACCTAATAAATACTAATAGTGTAGTTTGTATCGTAATAATAATAACCCTAGGCTAACTAGAGCTTGTGTTATATTAGACAACGGATATAAATTCTTAAATTTTTTTGTATATACAAATATAATATACATAGAATATCGAGATCGGTGCAAACAATCATACTCATGAATAGAAATGTTCATACCATGCGAAGAATCGAACCCGCGACCACCTTAATCAAAGCAATGTACTAAACCGCTAGACAACCTAGGCCTTCAAAATTAACATAATATAAAAACATCGCGGCCCAGTCTGATACTACGTAAAATTACACCAAAGAAATCGTGAGATCAAATATTTTTTTATTTTTATTTAATTTTTCTATTTGACATATCGGGAGGCAAAGGTTTCTAGACCATAAAGCCCACGATTTGAAGTGACAATTTCGTGTGAATTCTTAGAATATATTAAAATATGATTTAAAATGAATGATGAAATGAATCCGTCACTTGGACTTTTCTTAAATATAATAATTTTGGTTTAATGGTTGGTTAACTGGTTTAATTATAAAGCGGTTTATAAAAATATTCATACAAACATGTGTCCGCGACTTTTTTTTAATATAAGATATGATAACGTTAATCTTGTTCAAATAGAGTTGTTTACGTGGACTTCGAAACGTCATATTTTTATTTAACCGTCGGTTTTGCGGGACTCTATTAAATTATTACAAATTTACCATAAACCTATTATCTACTGCATAAAATGTCAACAAAAATTATTTGATATTATTTATTTATTTTTAGACAGTAATCTGTCTAATGATTAAATAAAAAAAAAACTATTTAATATTAAAGTTAAAAATGTTGAGCCGTTAAGCTTTATTTCTTCGTTTTAGTATAGACGTTATTCATTATTATCTATACCAATATTAGTAACGCAAAAGAATCTGGTTGTCTATTCGTTTCTTACCTTTACACGGGGACGTAATACCGATATTATTTATTCTGATTATTTTTTATTGTAAAAGTAAGAAAATTTTTTAAAAAATGTTCAAAATTACATTTCCATTAATATTTTGTTGGATTATAAACTACTAAATAGTATGAATTAACAAGATGAAATAATAATAATCTCAGGACAATTACCACAGCACCATCAAGACCCAAGTTAAGCTAGCTAAAGCTTCTGTTATGGGTACTAGACGATACAAATACATAGATATATTTTTTTGTAAATAAATACTTAATTACAGCATAACAAATCTACCTCAGTTAAATACATATATAATTTTGCATTCGCTGCCAAGTGGTATAGTGTTTTATGCATGTATACTTAAAAGTCTCAGTCTGCGTTTATTTTATATTAAATTGTGTTTGAATAAGATTATATTTATTTCTGTTATGATAACAAAGAAATTTCATATCTTGGTAGCCTTAAATTACAAAAAAAAACGTTATATATAAAATTCTCATGCCACATGTTTTTTACCATACTCCTCCAAAACGGCTTGACCGATTTTTATGAAATTTTATATGAAAAATATATACAACCTAACGAAACTTTACCCTTCGACCATCAATCCCTATTTTTTATTAGCCATTTTAATGTATATGGCAAAACAACATTTGCGGGACCAGCTAGTATAAATATATATATTTCATACCTGATTTAAATAGGTATCTACTTAGATACTAAGGCAGTTCATGCATACCTTATGGCACCTACTAAAGTATACTACGACCGAAACGACAATACTTAGTTGTTTTTATAAGTCAATTTGCTCAATATGAGATATATTAATTTATAAAAGATATTTTTTGTATAAAAAGTTTATGATAATAGAGACACAAAATCCATTTAATACTATGCTCTGTAGAAGGGATCCTATAGATGACTCTCCTGTCGCATTTTTGAGTTTTAAACTATCTCTAGCTGTCCCTACGGTTTTACCTGCCTGAAATTTATAGATTATGTATTACGCTAATGTATGATCATCTGCTTCTTCTTTATCCCATTTATTTGTGGTCGGCGTAATTTGTTTTTCCCTTCCATTCATTCCAGTTCGCACACATCTCGTTAGTTACTCTCTTTCTTACCGTATCATCTTTCACACAGTCCATCCTTCTCTTTTTCGGCCTTCCTCTGCCCTTATTCTTATCCACATTCTTAAGTTACTCTAATGTATGAGCGACTATCTTGTATATAAAATTCTCGTGTCACAGTTTTCGTTCCCATACTCCTCCGAAATGGCTTGACCGATTCTTCTGAAATTTTGTGAGCGTATTGAGTAGGTCTGAGAATCGGCCAACATATTTTTCATCCCCCTAAATGTTAGGGGTAGTCTACCCCTAATTTTTTTTTTTTAAGGCAAACAACGTTTGCCGGGCCAGCTAGTAAATAAAATTTCATCAAAATAAGTTAATTAGTTTTTGCGTGAAAGAGTAACAAACATTCATCTATCTATCTATTCTCATGAACTTTCGCGTTTCTAACATTAGTAAGATTCAGAGGTGCCTAAAAATATTTACGCACCTCCGGAAACAATAGTTTCACGTCCTAATTTAGAACAGCGAGTTTTGTTAATGAATGACATAGGTAATGGCAAATTTGCAACTACTCGCCACTGATTGGTCTAGAGTATCGTGAAGTCATTCGTATTGCGAGTCATAAGTGATAATGAGATTGCTTATTATACAGTTGCTGTTGACCTACGCCTCGATGTCACTGTACGTCGTTTTCTGCGCCGGATTTAGATAACTTCAATGCAAGTACTAACATGCATCTGAAAGTGATTCATACTATAACTAGATGTGCCTGCGGATTCACACGTATAAAATTGATATCCTATGTGTTATTGTCATGTATAAACAAGTTAGTAAGTAACCAATATGTCAATCTAAAATATGATCTATCTATTTACCAAATTTCATTCAAATGCATCTAGTATTTTTAGCGTGAAAGCACCGCACAAACTTTCGTCCTATTTTTCGCGTTTATAATATATTAATAAACGCGAAAATTTGTGAATATGGATGGATGTTTGTCACTCTTTAACACAAAACCTTAATATAACTTATACATCAGAAAACATACAATTTAAAAATATATTATGCAGATAAAGTGCGTGCGTAGCGCGGATAAACTAGTGTTATATATATTTCAGATTAACAAATAGGATACTTGTTATCCGAATTTAAGTGAGCATCCCTGCGATATAAAGTCAGTTTGTCTATAAAATACAAGGGCGCTGTGAGTTGATGAGTTGACTCTACCATCACTTGATATAGGCGCTCCTTGAGAACTAAATAAAACTATTAGTACTGGAAAATTCACGCAGCGCTATCCAATCTTAAAGTAAGCAGTTTGTACTATAGGTACTAGATAAGTGAGATATACTTTTTTTTTTATTGTAACTTAGAATAGAACCAAGAATTTCATCGAGGTGAACTTTGAAAAAGTTGTCTCTATGTTTCGGTTGACAAGTGATATAATACAGTGGATTTACAGGATAAAAGGGATGAAATCTTAACCCTCCGGAATGTAAAGCAAGAGTGGTATTATGGCTGTCATAGTAATGTGATGTCTGTTCATGTATATAGGTACCGGTTGCCGCTTACCACAAGATGGGCTGTAAGATTATTTCTCATTATAATTACATAAATATATGTGTATTGTGTCCTTAACACTTTACTATGTGATGGTCACACCATCATATAGTAAAATGTGTTCTAGACCAGTGGGGTCTTCGAATCGAGAATAAACTGACGAAAATACAGAATGAGCTTAGTGAATGTCACAGTTAGACGAGTGGTTAGCTGGCTCACGACGGGACTTGGGGCGTACGGCGCCGCGGTGCGGGACGACGCTACCGCCGCGGCGGGGGCGTCATATTCGCGAGGAGGCTTCCGCGGGCGGGGTCAGCGACCTCGCCCCCCGCGCGGCGGCGGGCGCGCCAATGTCAGGGCCGGTGCAGCCGCGGTCAGCTGACGTCTGGCGACGCGCGGGGGACGCGGCCACAGCTTCGAGGTGCAGTCGAGCTCCGATCGTCCACGGAGACGTACGCCTCAGTGTTCGGCGGCACGCGCTATAAATAGGAGCAGGTGGTGGCGCCGCGCGCTACTCCGGCGCCAGGGCTGTCCTCACCGAGTCAGGTACCTGAAGTAGCGCGCGGTGCCTCCTCCGATATCCGACCAACACTGCAGCAGCCACCGCTCGAACCGCCGCACGCCCATTGTACTTCATCAGGTGCTCTGGTGTTGATGGTTCCAGGCGCTTGTTGGAGTACACTTACCGTGTCGGCGGTTTACGACGTGATTACCAAGACTACAGAGTGCTGACGGGATAGGACGGCATGACACGTGGTTTTGTGCGAGCACGTGGCGGCGTCGAGGCGAGCTCCAGGCGCGGGACTCACCAGGGTGTCAGAAGGTACGTAGAGATAGCGGGCCGTGGGCGTGGAGACAAAGAGTCGCGTGAGTCACGCGGTAATCACGGCGGCGGTTGACGACCGCTGCAGCCTGCAACCTCACCCCCTCCCTTGTCACCACACCCTCGCACATAAATCCGCACACACGCACAACTGCCCACATCACATTTGCATTGGTCATCGAACTCCCCACCGAATCACTGAACAAAAGCAGCTCAAACTGGTTTTCGTATATTTTTCGACATTAGCCGTCTGCCGGTGCTGTTTCCTGTGCGATTCTTATGAGCCTATAAATTAGTCTGGGCATTATGACGGGCGATTTTCAGGCGAATCAACACAAAAAGCCCGTTAATAACTATAAACGAAACCGGCGTAAAAAATGCGCCGATGTCGTCTCATTTCTAGGTATTTTCGACTGGCATCAAGACAATGATTCAAGTACGACCAGTTCATATAGAATTATGTACCTTATTTATTTCGCATTACAATTGTGTTTTCCTTTTATTAAGCGAATTTTTGTGACGTCACGTAGATGGTTACCACTGCTGCGTTCCTTCGTCGTTACATTACCAAGGTGATTTTGAAATGTTATTGCCTCACTTTCTAGTAAGAAACCACTCGGTATTGATAATTTTAAAAACAGGCTTTTAAAACTGCAGTATGGCCTTTATACCACTGCAATAAAGAGGCTTTTACCTCGTAATTAAGTGAAAATATATCTTTGTTGAGATATATAATGCAAACACCCAATAAAAACACAAGTCTCAGGTGGATGAGTCACAGGAATGCGTCTAATTGTCGAAGTGAAGGTAAAGAATGTTCGTGTTAGATTTTAAATTGAAGTGAAGCGAAATCGAGTAGCGTTGGTAATAAGAATTACTTTGTCTACCTATATCTTTTTCCTAATATAATGAATCACTTAAACAGAGTGAGCCTTTCAAAGTGACTCATAATCTCTCAATTTGCGAAGTGAAACTGGGTAACCCAACTGCCTTTCTTTGTTTCACTTCGCAAATAACGTATCTACGGCTTAATTAGATGTATAATAAAATTCTATATTATACGCTGAATATCTCCTACCTTTGAGTAAATTTTACTGTACTGTGGAAATCTCGTAAAAAATGCAAGACGTGTCTTTTATATTCATGAAATGCCCTGTCCTTCGTCCACTTTCGACCGATATTCACTTTCTCTGTGAAGTAAACTCCTTCAAATCATGTGAAGGGCATTGCTCCAGATTGACTGTCAGCTTTTTTTATTGCGAATTCGTCTTCAAAACAAAAGAATGTCGATACTTTCTTTTGTTATGGTCCTAACAGATTTTGTGGTGATGTTTTAAGCTTTTTAATATTTTGGTCTACTATATATGCGTACAAAATTACGTTTACTCCTCGCATTTTACCTATGTTATAAAAATAAAGTTATGACTTTATCCCTTTGGGTTTAGGCATCGACCACAGAGATTAAAATGGCCTCTTGTTGTATCGGAATAGGTTTTCTTATCGCTACTCAATTGCCTTTATTTGGCTGGTAATCATTATGAGTCTTCAAAACTTGTAATATATTATTTAACAATTTTTTATCCGAGTAAATAGAAATTTTCTGCACATTTAAAGAACATTTTAAATGTAAAGAAGATGGAAGAGGTCCGACATAACTTCTAAACTAGAGATTACGGTTACACTAATAGTTCATTTGATTTGTCCCGTTAATTACTTTGTTTGTTAACAATTATAAGCAGAATTTAATTATAATTAATTAATACAGACATAAATTCATACATATAAAATATTTTAATTGTTGTTCATCTATACATATAAATAAAATTGGAGTGTCTGTTTGTAATATTGAAATAACCGTTTTTTACTACATGCATATGAATATAAATACAGTACATACACCAGAATAACATTTTTCACAATTTTTGTCTGTCTATCTGTCTGTCTGTTTGTTCCGGCTAATCTCTGAAATGGCTGGACCGTTTTAGAGTAACTTAGGCTACTTTCGTTTCATAAAAATAAAGTTAAACTCCACGCGGACGAAGTCGCGGGTACAGCTAGTAGAAAATAAAAATATTCAATATTACGGGAACATCAGTTTATATACCGTTTTTACAAACTGACTCTTTGTCTATTGGTAACTTATGCATATTCTATCTTTACTTATTGTCGTTACTTATTTTAGAAAAAAAAATACGAAACAATGAAATATAAAAAAAAATATTTGACAGATTCTTTTTATTATTTAATATATACACACAGCTTGTTTCAGATTATGGTATAAGATGTATTCAATTATATAGCTATTTCATGAATTTCTAGAAAAGATGGAGAGTGTTCAACGCCTGTTTAAATAATATAATAAGCTTTTGTGGGCTTACAAAGACGCAAAAGGATTCTTAAATTTACTTAAATATCTTTTGGGGGAAATATTATTTAAAATAATTGTATTATCTTGCCGTATTTACATAAAGTAAGCTGTGCTTTACGGATTCAATCATTTAATATTTATTAAAAAAATAAAACCAAAAATTTTAATTTTAAATAACTGCCGACTAAAAAAAGTAATTAATTGTAGTTAAGAACCTTCGCGATCACGTCATCTTTCAAACAAAAACCCGCATCATAAATGGTCCATTAGTTTAGGAACTACGATGCAACAGACAGACACATAGACACGTCAAACTTATAACATCTTTTTGCATCGGGGGTTAAAAATGGAGTAGAAAAAAAGTGGTAGTAAATAGAAAGACATTTTACTGTCTCCAAGGGAGTAATTAATTCGATGTTTTATGTTTATAAAAAAATAAACACAGCAAAAATATTTGTAATTTTAGAATATCATATAACTTATTTCTTTTTCTATTATTTGATCCATTTTGTTCATTCTCAATTTTTAATATATAATTATACATACAACAATTTTTATTTATCAGAATAACTACTCAGTTTTCAATTTATATTTTTCTATTTGTGTACAACAATTTTCATTTAAGTCAATATTTATAAATATTATTTTAAGAAATAAAATTATCTCACACCTAGAAAATCTTGTGTACAACACCACTTTAACATATCTTCATAAATGTTAATTGGCAGATAATACTAACAATCTATAACTAGCAAATATTATAAAACTAAAAATCTAATATAGTAGACCAAAACCTACTTAGTTTTATAATATTAGTTTTTTTTCTAATGTTGTTACAGCACAGAACCCTTCAGGGCGTGAATTCTACTCGCCCTTGACCAAATTTTGTAAATTATAACCTAACCGACTGTGTCCGTCGGCTACGTAAACACAAATTAGAATAATAAGTACCCTATACTTATTATTACCATTGTTTTTTAGACAGTTTTTGAATCAACTAAAAAAAATAACTTCAAAATACAACTGTATTTTTATATATTTTTTTTTATACTACTATGGTGGCAAACAAGCATACGGCCCATCTGATGGTAAATGGTTACCGTAGCCTATGGACGCCTGAAGCACCAGGGGTGTCACGTGCGCGTTGCCGACCCTTAAGAAACCTTAATATACCCTTCTTGAAAAACCCCATACTGTAGTCTCATGAGAAAACCTCGGCAGGAAGTCTTAATTATTTTCTCGTGAAGATATGTATTTAACTTTTTTTTTATTTCAAAATATTGTTCAATGAACATAGAGGTTATATTTGAGTAATAAATTAGAATCAGCGTTTCGTCTCCTTAAATGTCATGAAAACCTAACGCATACCTTTTTAATCTTAATAATGCGACCGATTTTAATTATTTCGTTGCCTGAACACGACACTATACATACTAATAAATTATTAAATAATAATAAATAAATTATAGTAAATAAATGAATAATATTTACATTTATAATATTATTATGACTGGAGCGGGAACGCAACTGCTATTTTATTAAAAATGAAATAATTGTAAAAAATGTGTATTTTTCTCAAAAGGGATCACAGCAAAGAGAAAAGTAACAACAGTTAGTCAAAAGTGACATATAAACATACAGATATCAAAGATATAAAGTTTATATAAGAAAAGAAAGAATCAAGCTGCCACCAACAATTATTAATTATAAAATATAACATATTATATTATTAATTTAAATATCTAATAGATACATTATTATTTATATTTATATAGCCAATAATTATATAAAATTAAATAATAATGAATTAAAAAAACTGATACTAATAAATTAGTTAGTAGCTTATTTTAAATTCTCTTTCTTTAATTAAATTCAGTTTTATTTCCATATATTTGTTTTACACAAAATATACTTGGTAGTCATGTTATCGAAGTAAATAAATAAAATATTTAGATTTTACTGTTCGTCAATCAATTCACAATGAAAAAAGATAATAACCAATTTCACTTCAAAAACCGCCGATAATTATTCGCGTTTTAAGCTAATTCAAGAATTGTGGAATAATATGTTTTTTTATAAAGATTATAGAATAACTATTTTTAAAAAGTAGGTACTATTATAATTAGCAAACTAACAAAACACGATGACCACGATTTCACTCACGAAAGCCGAAATACTTTGTGAGTTTTTAGAATATGGTTCGAGTTTCAATGATTCATTCGTAATAAATAAAATAAATAGACATAGCTTTATCTTGGCGCCATCTAGTTTCAGACAAAGTAGCGCTTGTAACCTACTGTTTGTACAAACAACTGATAGACATTTCACCTCACTTATAGTAAATTTAGGTATATACCCAAGCACGTACTTAAAACATCCATTACGATACCAACATACTTATGAGTACAGTTTCATATGACAACATTTTTGTACTGTAATTTTCTATATAAAATTCTCGTGTTACAGTTTTAGTTGCTTTAAGTAGATCTCCGAAGTAGCTTAAACGATTTTGATGACATTTTATATCTATAGGTACTCGGTAGCTCTGAGAACATGTTATCTATTGATAGATAAAGTAATTAGTGTGGTCCATGCCAAAAAAAATATGTTTTGTAAAAAAAATATTATAAGTATTTATTTCCAGTAGAAACACAGCTTACAGAGCAAGCTGCTGGGCGGTTGATATAGGTAGGCAGGGGTAGACGTAGATAGGACTTCTTACAAGAACGCAATATAAATATATTCGTATATCATAAACATAAATTTAAATAAAATTATTCTAAATTAATTATATTCACAATTAAATACATATAAGAAATCTCAATTGAAACGTACCTATATACTTAAGAGGTTTTCACAAATTTATGTTATCAAAGCATTCCGATCGATCAAACTTTGAATAAAAAACACATGAAATTAATCTGGCATATATCAAATCTTTGATAAGGTCTCAAACTTGTTAAACTCTATTTTCACATCGTAGTCAGAAATGAGTTTTATTCAAACCACATAGGTACTATCCTATGTTATTGAGATTTAATAATAATTATCTGTTACCACGATTTCAT